GATGCCACATAACCTTGGCAAGGCTGCCAGCTGGTCAGGAACGAGCGGGGCCTCACCTATTGCACTCTGGCTCCCCAGCCTACGGTTTTCCCATGCCCCCCCGAGGTGGGTGGGGCTGAGGGGCTGCCAGGCTGGGAAATTCTGGGGTTTAGACAAGGAAGAGCCTTTGGATGAAGAGGGCTGCCTGGACTTGGAGGCATCCACACACCTTCCTTCAGACACCTGGATAATGGGCATGGCATAGGCAGGCTGGAGAGATGGAAGAGAACATTGTGAGAGGTTTCTGACCAGAGGACTAGGGCTGTAGGAGGTTTATTGTATACAGAAAAATAAAACTTATTGCCAGCATCAGGGTTCAGGCCTAGCGCATAGTAGGATCTGGATACTATCTGCTGAATAAATGAATGTGTCCTTCTTCAGCCTTACTTATGACCACTTTTCTTCCTAATTATCAGCTTCATGCCAAGAGGAAGACACCCCAGCCCCCAAAAGACCTTAATGTGAATCAACATTTCCACTGTGAGGACTCAGTGAGGTCGAGGCATAGCAGATGGGTAGGCAGTGAGGCTCCCCTGCTCACCAGCCTTGTCCATATGAAGCCTGGGGGAAGCACGTGTGAGTTGGGGACCCAGGTTCAGCATGAGGAAGTCACCCAGAGGTCCAGGTCTCTAACTTCCTTCCCTTCTCAGGAAGGGCAAGTGCAGGTGGGGGGTGGGAGAGGTGAGGATGGAGGAGCCCAAGATCACCCAACTCCATGGAAAGAGGCTCGCAATGCATACTGGCTGGACCTTATATGGTGGGGAGCTGCCAGGCAAATGCAGGCTACCAAGGTTGGGACATCGAGCCAGGTGCAGGTGTTGGGGAGGGACCAGAAGCAGGATTGTGGTGCAGCATGAAGCTAAGGGCCAGGTCTGACCCTGTTGAGATCTGCCATCTGGGTGTCATATATATCTCTGAGCAATTCCCAGTCTGTGGTCACTGGGCTACAGTGAGGCCTGAGGCCTGAGAGTTTTGGCATTGCAGGCACCCTAGCAGAAGAGCCACTGGCTGGGCTGTCTGTTACCACTGCCTTGCAGCTTGTGGTCTGTGGGAGGATGCCATGGGCATGTTTGACAATTGTGACCAAAAGGAACTGGGGCCACAGACCAGTGAGAAGAGCTAGAGTCAAGCCCAGTGAGGGGCCCAGGACTTGCTCAAGGCCTTCAGTGATCCCTGGGAGCCCTGACATCACTGGAGCCTGGGGTTTAGGGTACTCAGACTGGGGTTCCTTGAAGGCTCCATCCTCCTCAGCAAAAGGAGAAGTTTCCATGAAGCCATTCCCAGGCTGGGGGAGGTCTGTCCCAGACCTACCACTGGGGAGAGTTCCTGTGGGAGCTCTTCCCTCTGCCCTGGGGTCTGTAGAAGGGAGTAGAAGCCACAGGGGTGGGAAAATGGGGCCCAGACCAAGGAGTGTGGCCCAAAAGATGATAAGGGGAAGGCCAAAACTAAGGCTAGACACAACTGGCTGCACTGGGGACTGCCAAGGAAGGTGGTTTTCCCCTGAATCTTTCTCCCCCTGAAATCAACAGGCCAAGCCTCATCAGCATAGGTGAAAGGCTATGCCCCCCAGGCTTTATACAGTTCTCAGGTCCAGGGCTGCTGATCTTGAGCAGCCTTGGAGATTCTCAGCCTCTCTTCTCTCCTCTCTACAGTAGGGCTCTTTCCTCATGACTCCCAGGCACATGGCTTTTCACACAGGCTATGAAGAGACAGATATGCTATCGTTGTCCATCTAATAGAACGTGTTGAAGTCACCAGTACATTTAAGCCTAGATGGTCCTTTGGAAGCCTAAGACCTTTTGATTTTAGGTTTTCAGCATAAAACCTTTTTCTGGGTGGACTCTCAAGTCCCTTGTCTAGCACAAGTTCCCAAAGAGATGGGAGGATGCAGTCTGAGCTCCAGACTCTACTCTTCCTGGTGGTTCACAGCATTGAAGCTGACTACGTAGCCCCTGAAACCCACCCCCTTGTCTGCCTGGTGGAAAAGAAATAATTCCTGTCCCTGGATGAGGCCTCCACAATGCTGGCGCTCAGAGAAGGCACAGTGCAAAATTGCGTACGTTCCCTGCTCCTATCCTTCTGGGATAGAAGCTTCTCAAACATTGCAACAATGTGATCCATCTACCAGATGGTCACATAGGCCGAGTAGGTCCAGGATCAGCAGTTCAATAGGTGAGTGCTCACTCCATACACAGCACAAGGGTGAGCCTTCCGTCTACTAGTTGTATGTCTTAGGAATGTTAAAGCACCTCTCTGAACTTCTCTTTCCTCTTCTGAAAAGTGGGGGTGCTAAGAAGATGAACCTCATAGGGCGACTGTGGGAAGTCATGGGAGAAAACATGTCATGTGCTTCTCTGGGGCCCGGCTCTGTAAAATGGCTGCTCGACATGCTGGGCATCTTCCCTCTTAACACTTCTCTCTCCAGGGAAGATGCGTTCAGGCTGAACCCTCACAAGTCTGTGGCCCTTCTGCGTGTATGAAAAGGAAATGGAAAGCTGGCAGGTTTTCTATTTGCAAAGGACTTCTGGGATTCCATCTAGTTGGTCCTGGTTGTGGTCCTTTAAGTGCCCAGTTCAGAGGAGACTGGGAACAGGCAGAGAGGCCCAAGGGCCACTCAGGATTTGCAAAGTCATGTTTGGGATGATTTCATTCAATCATGGGTCTTAAACACCTAGGAATGCAGGCAGTCTCCAGTCACCAAGAGCCATGAATGGGTAAAGTAGAGACAATGTCTGGATCTAAATTATGTCCGAGGGTCAGATAGGCACTCTCCACATCCTACACACGCATGTCTAGCGTTCATCAGCTGGAGCATCTCTGTGACCTACTCTAGGGATAAATGGATCCACCTCTATTGGAACCATGAGGATGCACTCTAAGATCAAGGAAGAACACAATAGGTCTTTGTATCCTGAAGGAGGGCCTGCTGCCTCCACAGAGCAGGGTGGGATATGACAAGGGTTGTTGCTGGGGAGGGACGTTCAGAACCATGGATCTCCCAGAAGTCTTGATTTCCATGGGAGAGCTTAATGGGATGGCTTCCTGTGAAGAAGCCAAGGAGTCCAAGAGATCTGTGGATGGGCTGCCAAGCTCCCTGGGAAGCAGAGCCCACTGTGGGCTGAATTGGTGCCTTAAACACCCATCCCTTGGGTGGTTCATTCTTTCTCTGCCTGCCCCTTTGAATGTCCACCTCCAATGACCACAAGTGGGGCCAAGGAGAAACGGTGTGGGGACCAGACCACTTACCAATTGGCCTCCAATATACCCCTGATTCTGGTCTGCATGGAGGATGCATGACTGAGGGGGAAAAAGACTTGCCTATGGGATATCATTCATCCATCCTTGTCAGCTGTCAGCAAGGACAGCTCCAGAAGGTTTGGAAGTGGGCTGGGGTCATTCTGTGGGGCCCACACAGAAATAATGGTTCTGTGGGTATAGCGAGGTTAAGGAAAAGCCAGGTCTCTGACTCTGCTCCACATATGACTCTCCCTAGCACTCCGTGTCCCATTGTGGGAACCTGGCCTGAGAAGACACTGCAGGGTATTGGGTAGTACTGGCACAGTGCCCATGTCCAGGACAAGGGGCCTATGTCCACCTCAAGTGGCATGACTGGGACCTGAACACCCATGCCCCATTCTGTTGAGGCAGCAGGAACTTCTGCATCTCAAGGAGGCTGAGGTGGAAGGTAAGGGGCATTGCAAGCAGAGAAGGCCATCTGGGATGGGGTTCACGGGCTGGGTATTCCTTGAAAGGCCATGGGATCTGTCCTGTTTAGGGAAAGGCACATGGAATGTCAGTGATATTGCTGAATCTTTCCCTTTCTCCTACCCCAGTGTCAGCTCTGTGACTCATTCAAGCAGCTGAGCCAGCCAAAGGGCATCCCATGGAACAAGAGGAAATCCTGGCTCTGCATCTTCCCTCACCTTCAGGGTCATTGTCAGCCTCCCATTCCTCAGCTGTTTCAGTACTGGGACAGGGGCTCCCATGTCCTGTATGGGTGACGGGTCCTAACCCCAGCAGCTAGGCCATCAGTCTGCATGGAAGTTTTCACTCCAGCTATCCCAGCCACTGAGCTCACTGCAACACCAGAGGTTTCTAGCCAACACAAGAATGAGCTGAAAGAGAAGAAGCCTGACCTCCTGGACTTCCATCCCAAACTGGTGGCAGAGCAACTGACCTACATGTATACAGTGAGCATCTGGGCCTTCAGGGTAGGAGGGCAGGGCCGGTTTTCTTCTGCTCTCAGCTGCCCTATACCTGCTTTTTCCTGATGTGGACTCCTAGGATATAGGGCCAGATCTCAGCTGCAGCCCTAACCAACCGTGGAAACCCATCAGGGTTTTTAGACCTGAGCTTTCACTGTCCAGCTGCAGACTGTGGAGACAGGCACTGAGAAGGACTGAGGCAGAGGTACCACGTACATGCAATGAGTCAGAACCGAGAGACCATAAATGGGAAGGCTCTGGTCCCTCGGGGGGAGGAGGGCAGCTCCCTGTGTGCAGTCATATCCATGGGTCGCCCACCGATCTGCCTGGGAGCCTGAGCACCCTCAACCTGGATTAGGCATCTGATGTGTCCGGAAGGACAGGCCAGACACGGAAAGCCATGCTTTCAGCCACCAGGTGAGAACGGGCACCTGAAAGGAGACAGGGACCGCAGGGATGAGCATTTGGAGGAGGAGATGCCCCCTTGGGAGCACCACCTGGAGTGGCCCCCTGGACATGGAATGATCAGGGTGCACATGCCTTCCTCCCTTCCCTTGCCTCTCCTGTCTCCTGGGGCATCCTGCACTGGCTTCCCTCGGAGAAGAAGAGTGGCAGGAAATCCAGGCTCTCTAAGCAGGCTCAGGCCACATTCGCAGCCTCCTGAGCTCCAGCTCTGACCTGGGACCCCTCCTGAGGACATGAGTCTTGCATGTTCGAACATGTGTGTGGCTCAACAAACCTCCCCCTGGCCCCTAGGAGCTGTTCAAGAAGGTGGTGCCCCATCAGTGCCTGGGCTCCGTCTGGTCCCGGAGGAACAGGCCTGGCAACGAGCACCTGGCACCCACAGTCCGGGCCACCATCGCCCAGTTCAATGCCGTGGCCAGCTGCATCATCACCACGTGCCTTGGCAACCCAAGCATGACAGCCCGGGACAGGGCCGTGGTGGTGGACCACTGGATCCGGGTGGCCAAGGTATGCTACAGGAGGCCCAGCTCCCTGAGGCTCTCCTGGCCTCGGGAACTGCTCTTCTGTCTTGCTCCCTTCTCAGGGCTGAAGGCCCTGCTCTAAGACCTGTGGTCCTTAGGCTCTTCCTCCTGGGGGCATGGCCCAACATTGGGAGGCTCCGTTCCTACGTAAATCCTCCTTTGCAGTGAGGGAAAGTCCTCCTTCTCGCCAGCAGTGTTCCTCTTTAAGGCTGACCTGTGCCCTTCTGCAGCTCCCTGGACATCAGCTTCATCCGTGGGGGAGCTGTAAACTGAGGGGGGCACTGAAGCTCTCGAGCATCTAGGGCTCCAGCTCTCCCACTGACAGCTCCTTCTCTTCCCTCCTCCAGGCCTGTCAGATCCTGGGGAACTACTCCTCCCTGAATGCCATCCTCGTGGCTCTGCAGAGTGTCTCCATTCACTGTCTGAATAGGACATGGGACAACGTTTCCAGGTGAGTAGACTTGTCTCCAGGGAGGGACCAGAATGGAGGCGGGATCTCCCACAGGCCTGTCCTATTCTCCCTCAGTCAGCCTGGACCTCCTGGGAGGCAGCAAACCCTGACCAAAGGACCTGGGCCTGGGGCTGCTTCTCCCATCCTTCCTGGGGAACAGGCCACCATGCCTCCTGCTTGAGAAATCCAATTTCCTCTATGCCCTACCCTGGCCTGAGCTGAATTCCATATTTCCACGTGGTGACTTGGCAGCCACTGAACTCTCTGCCCATGGTTCAACCAAAACCGCACCCAAACTGAGCTGTTCAATTAAGCTGGGAAGGGACGCCCAGGAGGACGCCCAGAAGAACTCCCTCAGTGCACAGAGGAGCCCAGGGAAAACCCTCAGCCAGCCTGGTGGACATGTGGGGGTTCTCCAAGAAAAGGGACTTGCACTCTACCCTGCCACATTATGTCTACCCTGAACCTACCTTCTTTCACTCTATTCAGGAAGATCTTTCACAATTTTACAAAGCACTGCAGAGAAGACAACCTCCAGGGCAGAAAACTCCTCACAAGGTAGCATGGAAGTTGCAGGCTATAAGGACAGGAGGGGTGTGAGGAGGCATGATCATGTGTGGATGAAGTAGGGAATAGCCTGAAGCATTCCGCAGGGTGCAAAAGCCTTTGGCATGAATGTGCTGGCAGCCCAGGCTGAAGATTATCATTGGGGCTGGGACAAGCTGGTGCTGCCCATGCAGACTCCCTAGGCTAGATTTCAGGTCTCTCTGTGTCCATCGAGATGGTCCATATGGGGGCCGATATGAACCTGGACAGCCCAGAGGACAGGCCTCTGCTCATAGATGGAGTGGAAATTGGTTGTGGGCCACAATAATGATAACCATAATAGGATCCTGAGTCCTCAGGAGACCATGGGAGGTAGGTGGTGTTCTCCATTTTGCCCATGAGAAAATAGGCTAAGGCTGGGGATGCTCCAAGTTCAAGGTCACACGTGGACTGAATGGAGGAGCTCAAATTGTTCTAGAAGGACTCATGGCATGCTTCAGGGTAATGTAGCATTGGTGTCAGCAGATGCAGGTCAGATGTTTGGGTCTGAAGTCAAAGATGGTGGGTGCAAGGGGATTGAGGCTATTCTGCTCTCAAGATCTTTTCCTTGGCCCTCCAGGAGAAGCCCTAGAATAAATTTGCCACCCTGGTGAGGCACCTGCAGAGAGTGTGGAAGAGGCTGCTGAAGAAGGTGAGTGTGCCTGAGGGACAGGGCCTCCAAGGTCAGAGGAGAAGAGCTCCTCCATGAATGCTGGGCGCCTCCAAATCAGGACAGGAAGGACATGCGACTCCAGCTCCATCTCCCGTTGCCAGATTTTCTCAATGTCTTCTTTCCAAATGACCAGGAGGAGGCCGAGCAGGCTGGGTACAGAATTGATTTGTGGCTGGGAGGGACCCAGGGCTCCATACCCTGTGATTTTCAAAGTTCAAAAAACGGGCCCTGGAGGGGATTAGGAGGAGCCTAATATTCTGAGAAGGTGAAGGAAAGGGAATTGAGGGGAAGCAACTAAGTGTCCATTGCATGGGAGAAGCTGGGGTGGCCAGGATGCTGAAGCCTTTTCAGGGGAGGGCCCCTGTGGGCCCCTGTGGGCACCAGAGAGCATGGACTCATCCCAAATCTACCCCTCATGACACAGGGTATCATCCCATACCTTGGCACTTTCCTCACTGACCTGGTGATGTTGGAAACTGCAATGGAGGACTACCGGGAAGTGGGTGAGCCTGAGGATTGTGGAAGAGGGACCAGAGTCCAGAGAACTGGGAGCAGAGTGTCCTTGTACTGAGTGAGCTCTGAGCTCTGCGTTCTTAGGAAACCTCTCCTCCGATAGCCTCACAGCCACCCATGTAACAGGGGTCTCTTGCCCAGCTCAGTGCTGAGAGAAGGGAGTCTGCACCTAGACAGGTGCCCAAGACCAGTGAAGCACCAGAGCTTCCTGAAGGCAAAGCTGCATGCACTCTGTGTGAATGGGCCGCCAGAGCAATGCCCTCAACTCCGCCCTCCGGAGAGCCTGACTCCACATGGCACATCAGGCTGCCATTCTCACAGGACAAAACCCTAACCCTAGGCTGGGTGTTCAGGTTCTGGATCCCAGAGGCCTGACACCCAGTTCCTCCCTTGGATGGGAGCATCAGACTGATGGCAGGACTGAGGCTCTCAGCCAGGAGGAAACCATTTCATTCGGTGCTATTTAATACCCTCAGTGCGGAAGAAACCAGCAGGCTCCCCTGAGGACATTCCCTCCATCTATGCCTCTCCAGGCCAAAACCCCAGGGTCTGAGGATCCTCCTGAGTCCCGCCCTCAACTCAGCCCTTGGGTGAGCCCATATCTGTCTTGCCAGATCCCACATGCCTTGTCCCTAAGACAGAACCCGAACCCTAACCCTAACCCTAACCTTAAACCTAACCCACAGCCCACATTGGGTGCTCAGGCTTCTGGCCTCTGAGGCCTGGTTCCTGAACTCTCCAGATGGGAGAGCCCTGAGCTGCACCCCACCTTTGCACCTGATCCCAGGAAGAAACCACGCCCTTTAGACATGAGCCAAACCCGCAGATTGAGAGAAACCTGCATGCATCCCTTGGGCCACATCCTCGTTAGGTGCCCACCAGGACCACAAACCAGGAGTCTGACGATCCTGCAGACACAAGCCCTCAACTCAGCCATAGGGAGAGGCCACCACAGTGCGGGCAGATTGGGCCTGCCATGGCCCGTCAGCCTAACCCTAATCTAGGGTGGTTATTCAGGCTTCTGTCCCCAGTGGCCTGGTCTGGTAGCCCTCCAGTTTGGGGAGTCCTTATTCACAATGCAGGACCCTGGGTGTCACCCAGGAGGCACTTGTGCCATTTGGCCCTGTGCAGGATGCTCAGGACGGGAGAAACAGGCAAGAACCATCAAGCCACCCAACACCTTCCGAGGACCCCCTGACCACAATCACACAGCTTGACGGTCTTCCTGAAAAATGCTCTAACTCAGCCCTCCAGGGAGCCTGCCTTCGCACTGGCCCTTCGTGTCTGCATTCTCCCAGGACCAAACCCTAACACTACGGTGCGTATTCAAGTTCTGGACTCCAGAGGCCTGACACCCAATTGCTCCCATGGATGGGAGCATCAGACTGACGACAGGACTAAGCATCTCAGCCAGGAGGAAACCGTTTCAATGGCTGCTAGCTCATAGCCTCAGAGCGGTAGAAAGCAGCATGTTCCCCTGGGGGTGTTCCCGCCATCTTTGCCCCTCCAGGCCAAAAGCGCAGGCTTTGATTACCCTCCTGACTCCCGCCCTCCACTCAGCCCTTGGGTGAGCCCTTTTCTGTGCTGGCAGATCCGACATGCCTTGTCCTGAAGACATCAACCTAACCCTAAGCCTAAAACTAACCCTAACACTGAGCCTAGCCCAGGTTGAATGTTCAGGCTTCCATCCTCCGATGGCTGATCAACCCAGATGGGGGACCCATAAGTTGCACCCCATAATGTCTCATGATCCCAGGAGGAAACCTTGCCCTTAGGAAATGTGCTGAACCCGCAGAGCGGGGGAAACCTGCATGCCTCCCTGAGGGCACCCCCACTTCAGGCACCCCCAAGGACCAGGAACCTGGAGTCTCACGGTCCTGCAGACACGTGCTCTCCACTCAGGCCTTGGGATGGGTCACCACAGCGCCAGCAAATCGGGGCTGCCATGCCCCTATGACATAAATCTAACTCTAGGTTGGGTGTTCAGGCTTCCGTCCCCAGAGGCCTGGAACCCTAGCCCTCCAGACTGGGGACCCTGTATTCACAACACAGGACTCTGGGTGCCACCCACGTGGAAACTCTGCCATTTGGCCCTGGGCAGAACCCTCCTCACGGGAGAAACCTCCATGCCCCCTAAAGCCACCCACGCCTTCCGAGGACCCCCACACCACAATCTGGGAGCCTGGCGGTCCTCCAGAGCAATGCCCTCAACTCAGCCCTCCAGAGAGCCTGACTCCGCAATGGCACATCAGGCCTGCCATTTTCACAGGACCAAACCCTAACCCTAGGTTGCGTGTTGAGGTTCTGGATCCCAGAGGCCTGACATCCAGTTCCTCCCTTGGATGGGAGCATCAGACTGATGGCAGGAGGAAATCCCTCAGAGATTGCCTGTGGTGAAGAGTGAAGTTAGGATCCTGCACATCAGCAACAGGTCAGGAACCCGTAAACCCCTGCCTGCCTGAGTCTACTGCAGCTCCCTTCTGTCATCCCAGAATGTTGTGCTGCAGGGTGCAGACCTGGAGCCCTACTAAGGATCACAAATCTTCCATTCTCTGGACCCAAGGACTTGCTCTAGACCCCAGTCTCATTGTTTGTGTCTCAGCAGCCCCCTCCTGTGTCCTGGCCTGCAAGTAGCCTAAGGAGGGGGCTGTGTAAGATGCTAGTCCTGACCAGGGGCTATTTCTAAGGAAAAATGGTTGTCTTCTTTACAAGGGAATGAGATCAACCACTCCAAAAAGAATAAGGTGAGAATAAGTGGCACTTCCTGTAGGGAAGAGGAGGCAGCCCCTGTCAGAGATGCCCTTGGGAAGAGTATTCCATTGCTTCATCCCTTCCCATCCATCTCACATTTCCTGGGATAAGATGCTAAGAAAGAAGTGCAAGGCCCATCTAGTGAGTCAGTAGGGATCTAGAAATGGCGTC